ATTATCCAAGCTTTGTACATCCCCTAGTGCTCTGCATCGTCTTCAGTACTTCAAGGGCCTGTAATTTCACTAGTGTGGCTGCTTCCTTCACCAAGGCACCTTTCACCTTAGAAGAGGGTCTTTAGTGAGTTTCTGCTGTTGAAAAATTCACCCCTGGGGACAATCTGGCAATAAGGCTCTGAACATAGAAGGGGCTCAATAAATATTTATTAAATTAATAAATCTTCCAGGATTTATGTTCCATTGGCACAGACTTTAGGACACAGAATGATATTGGAATAGGAATTTGACTACTTTATAGGTTAACTGGCATTTGAGAATTGGCCTGGGAATCTAACCACATTGTTTCTGTGAGGAAATACAGTTGAAGTTTCCAGCTGACCCACAGATGAGCTTTTGGAACACAACGTTCCTAAGTTGTGAACAGGCTGTACGAGTAGAGCCACAGTGGCCAAATGGGAGTTTAAGGACGTGATGGGATGAAAAGGAGGGAGGCCTCGGTCATGCCTGGTCGTAGGTGTCCATAGATGAAGGAAGCTGGCTGAGTTTCCGCTCCTGCGAGTACATAGAAAATTTCTGGAAGGACTGTTTCAGTTTCTTGGAAACAGTGGAGGCAGAAACCAAGTAAATAAACAGCAATCAATCAGGAAATAGATGTTGGAAAGCCAAGCAGACTGTTCGGAGAGTCAACAAACAGGAGATCTACAGTCAAGGTCTTCCATAGGTTCACCCAGACCAGCCTCTCAATCCTTATCTCTTAGAAAAAACACGCCTTGCCTATATAGCTTTCTAGAGCCAGCACCTGTATTGGTCGAACATTGACTCCCTGATGAAATGGCATTCGCCTCCTTCCCATTCACCTAAGTCCTACTTTGCCATCAAAGCCTACCATGGGTTCTATCCCTTCCAAAAACCTTCTGTGACTATCTTTCTCCCTCCCCTGGAATCTTGTAGCATTTACTGTCTGTTCCATTCTTTCCCTGCCTGGCACAGTTAGTCTTCTATCTGATTTATCTTTTTATATATAGTCTGTGTAGTCCTTTCACCGTGGTTGTCTGAAAGGTAGGCTCTTTCATTTTTATATTTCCTCAATGCCTAGCACAGTGCCTATATACAACAGATGTTCAATAAATGTTTGTTGGTGACGATCTTCAGGCTTTAAAGAAATAGCATAATAGGTAGTTGATGGGTCAGGCGAAATGGCAGCATCTAAGAGATCTCCATGAACTAAGAAAACAGATACCCAGCACCAGGAGCAAGAACAAGATGCTGATGGGGAGTTCTCTTTTCACCCTAATGAAGACCGGTCCCAAGCGAGCTAGAGTTGCAAGGGGTGATAGCTGAAAATAACTGGTGGGGTGGTAAGGATGGGTAAAGTGACTTGCCCAGGGTGACACAAACACAGGTTAAAAACTTAGGCATGGGAGCAGGCTAGGTGGTACAGTGGAGAGAGCACCATCCATGGAGTCAGGAGGACCTGAGTTCAAATGCAGTCTCAGACACTTGACACTTACTATGTGATCCTGGGCAAGTCACTTAACCCCATTGCCAAGGGTCAGGGTTGGGGGCGGGGGAGAAGAACTCAGGAACTTCTTCCTTATTCCAGGGCCAGTGCTCTATCCACTGCACCACCTAGTTGCCCCAAGGCACAATTTTTAAACGTTCACTATTATAACTGATACACTATGTGGCTACTCTATGTTAAGTGCACATGTGTCCTATGAAAGTGGGGGTCGTTGGCTAAGAAAGACAATTCCAGATGTGGGATTGGGACTCTAGAGTCACCAATTTTCTATTTTTAATATTTTTGAGCGATATTTATATGATACCGTAGTTTAAATGCCAAACATTGCCAGGGCCACCATTTGGGGTTGAGGAGAAGGGAAGATGCATTTATATAGCTCCTTCTTATAAATTTTATCTCATTTGCTCTTCACAGTAATGCTGTGCTGTTATTACCCCCAACAGACGTTGTGATTTGCCCAAAGTCACACAGCTAATTAGTGTCTGTGGCCACATTTGAACTCAGGTCTTTCTGACTCCTGGCCCAGAAGTCTATCTACTGAGCCATTTAACTTCTATTTTGATGGTGGTGGTGGGGAGGAGAGAAAAAAAGACAGACAGAGAAACAGAATCAGACAGCTGAAAACCCCAGGGTGTATGTCTGTAAAAGGGAAGGTCCCTGAACAGGGCAAGTTGGAAAATTAGTCTGGAGAGTTATGGGCTGTGGGCTATGTTTGAAGTGAGCAGGGCTGGCATGGGTACTTCCTCAAAAGGAGGTTACAAGGAGGGAAAGGCTATAAGGGTAAAAGAGTAGGCAGGAAGGCCTTCTCTTCTTCTTCTTTTTTTTTTTTGTCAGCCAAAGACAAGGTTTATTAGAACATGTGTTATATTGGGTAGACTCTTAAGGAGTTTGAATGTTAGTGAGCTATAGTGAGCTAGATTATAAGAATCTGAGCACCTTAATAGAGACAAGATGGACCTTATATACAGAAAGACTATGGGAGGGATCTAGGAGTGGCCAAGTAGTCTTCCGGGACTGTGAGGTAATAGAACACCAGGGACCTAGGGGAGAATGGAGCCTAGCTAGGATTAAGGGTGGGAAGTGACCAGGGGCCATAGGGAGGTAAGACATTGGAAGAAGGCCCTCTCTTCTTCAGAGAGACTCTGAGACCACTTGGCTGATGGCTTGAGTATCATGCCAACCAGTGGACAAATCAGATATTGCACTCTCTCACTGGATAATTAATATAGCGACACACTCCCTTTCAGTAGGCTTGTGGAAGGCAGCATAGGACTTAATGTGGGCTAAAGTCACTATTGCAGTGCCCCAAGTGTCACATAGTATATATACAACGTGGCACATTCTAGTGTCATACACATAAGGTAAACAAGTATAGGTAATAGTTAACCATTGACAGATAAATGAGCTCTCTCATTTCAGTGGTTCAAGATCATAGTAATTAAAAGGGAACTCAGGCAATGAATTCAGGAGTGAAGCCAGTGAAAGAAAGAATAAAAAGCTCATTAGTCAGATAAGCAGAATTCAGTATGTACTTGGGAGCGGAAACATAATGGAATTGAAGAGAGTGTAGGCCTCTTGGTCATTGTGGTGGCTGTTTGTCCTTTGTTCTGGAAGAGGACCAATGACATTACAAGGGTAATGTCTTGACTTGCTCACGAGTTGGATTTAAGTGAAACAGAGCCACACAAAGTTGTCAGCCTCATTGTCTTCTCCAGAGTCCAAATTAAAGTCTTTCCCAGGCCTCAGTTTATCTGAGTCAATGCCCATTTATGAGCCAGGAAGGAAGAAACCAGGTCTGTGGGAATAGGCTGTATTTGGGTAACTGAAATGAACTACACAGAATAAGCTAGACCAAGCTGAATTCCAATTTTTTTTTTTAGGCAATTAGTATTAAGTGACTTGTCCAGGGTCACATAGCTAGTAATTGTCAAGTGTTTGGTCTGAGGCTGGATTTGAACTCAGGTCCTCCTGACTTCAGGGCTGGTGCTTTATCCACTACACCACCTAAGTGGCCCTGAATTCCAATTATTTATGTGCCAGAAACAGCTGACTTGTATAGACATCATACCTCACACCTATAACAAGGTAATTTTTATTGCATTTAAATATTGTCATCTAAAACTTACTATAAGCGATATGGCTGGGGGTGTATGTGGCTAGTTTAGAGGCCAGTCCATAGGTAGAGACAACCAAAGCAGAGAGACTCCTGGCCATTAAATATGGCCACCAAAGCAGAGCGGCTCCTGGGCATCAAACATGACTTGGTGAACTAAGGAAGTGGGATGGCCGGAGTAGAGCCCATCTTTTAGACAGCAGAACCTTCCCCAATCCCTCTTATTCTAGTGCCTTCTTCCTGTTGATTATTTCCTATTTATCCTCTATATAGCCTGTTTTGCATATATTTGCATGTTGTTTCCCCCATTAGGTTGTAATTTATTTGAGGGAAAGGACTATCTTGTGCCTTTCTGTATCCCCAGTATTTAGCACAGTGGCACATAATAGGTGCTTTATAAATGTTGATTGATAGATTGTTCTACCATTCATTCTAGAGTGTTCTATCTATTCTATCATTACCCTAGATGCAGAGTATGTTTCTTTAAATACTCCAAGCCAACTCCTCAACTATAACTTCTTTCTTTAAAAAACAGAACAAAATATTTTATCTTTTGGACTAGACCTAATTTCATTGGCATAGGGAATTCTCAGTAAGAAAACTCCTATAAATGCAGGTTTGCATTTGTTCTGAAACTTGAGGTCTTAGGGAGTTTCTTGGAGCAAGGGGAGATAAAGGGACTTGCCTGGGGTTACATGGCCAGTTAGTATGTGTGTGGATGGGGGGAGGAGAGAACTTGAACCCAGGTCTTCCTGACTCTGAGGGCTGGCTCTTTGTCCCCAATACCCCACTGCCACTCTCATATTCTCTTCCTCATATATTTTCTCTTCACTGTTCTAAACTCTTTGCTTATATAGACCATTAGTTTAAAGAAGGTATCGATTTTCTTTTTTCTGTTAAGTTGTTTTGTTTTGGTTTTTAGGTAGTTGGGGTTAAGTGACTTGCTCAGGGTCACACAACTAGTAAGTGTCAGGTGTTTGGTCTGAGGCTGGATTTGAACTCAGGTCCTCCTGACTTCAGGGCCAGTGCTCTATCCACTTCGCCACCTAGCTGCCGCTCAGTTTTCTTAATGGACCTAGAATTCCTGGTATCTTTTCCCCAGGTTCTCTGTCTATAGCTATTTAGCAAAATCAGGATCACAAAGGCCAATGGTGCAAATCCTTCCCTGACACCAGCCTTACAGAGGTTCCAGAATTTGAAATAATGGCTGAAAAGGCTGGATCTTATAGTTTCAGATGAGTGGTAAGAGATGTTTTTGTGGCCCTCTGTCATTTTGGAGGGCACTAGGGAGAAAGAGGAGAAGACAGAGGGTGTTTCAGTAAGCAAGAGAGACTTGAAATCAACCACACACACACAGAACCCTCTGATTGATTCTTTATTGTAACCACTGTCCTTTGATAGATTCAGTTTCTTTAGGTAGATTTTCCCTTTCCCTCTGCTTCATCTAGCTCATCCATTCCTACCATCAGCTCCTCTTCATCTCCTCTGAAAGTGCTAAAGGATCTCACTTGCCAGGCCCCTCCAAACTCCAGCCAGGCTGGGGAGGGCACATCTCTTGAGAGAAGGCTGTCAGGCAAGATTAAGATCCTATCTCTCTTGCCCTGTCTTCGCTGCCATATGTCCATAGCCGTGATCTTGGTATCAGTACTCTGGCCCAGCCTGGAAGAAAAAGAGATCTTTAGAGGTTGGGACTTACCAACTTTAGGAGACCTCCTTCTTAGGACTCCAGGGTTCTTTCCTAGATTATAGCGGTCATACCTCCCAGCCAGCTCTGAGACTTAGAGTTGAATACCATTCTTTTGCTAGTGTGTCAGCCCATACATTAGGCTGGAGAGATCTGTATGGGGGCTCTTGACTCCCTTACCTCAGAGTTTTAGGCTCAGGGTCTAGTGCCACGTTTCTTTTGCTCTGTGTTCTGAAGCTTGGTCAGCAGCTTCCGCTCGTGGCCAGCTGGGCTGGGTCGGTTGGTATGGTTGGCAGCTTCTCTTTTGGTACGACCTTTCCTGCTCCCTCTTCCTGAAATAGAAGGCAGTAGTCTTAGGAATGAGGTGCTCAGAGAACATGGTGGGCGGAAGCCACTTGGTGGCTATGGTTGCAGAGACCAACAGAAAGAGAGATAGAGACATGAGGGGCAGTGGCAAGAACTGGACTAGAAGCAGGATTCCTGAGTCCTATTTCTAGATTTTTCTTTTGTGTAAGATCTCTCTTGCTGTGTAAATTTGGGCAAACCATTTCATTCTTCTCAGCCTCCTCTGTAAAACTCAGAGTTTGGATTGGACAGTTTCTCAGATCAGTATAATTCAATTCAACAAACATTTATTAAGCATCTACTGTATGCAAGGCATTGCATTAGGTACTGGAGATCCAAAGACAAAAATGAAATATCCTTGCCTTTAAAGACCTTACATTCCAATGGAGAACAACATATACACAGAAAAATGAATACAAGGTAATTTGAAGAGGGTAAGGGATCTAAAAACTAGAGGGATGAGGAAGGTTTCAAAAACAAGGGGGCAACTGAGCTGAACCATGATGGGAAATAAGGATTCTGGGAGGCTGAGATAAGGAGACTTGTAAGGGCTTCTATAAGGGTTGTTTGTGGGACTGGCTGGGACCTAGGATTAAAATTAAGTGGACAGAGGGTGGGGATGGGTGTCAGGGGATGGTTATGTTGAAATCCATAGGGCACCCTGAAAATATCAGGAAAAAAGATTCTAGAAATACAGAGCTGAGTCTGGACTGGAACTAGGGGCACTAGGAAGGAAGCTAGAATGAAAGGGCATCTAGATAAGGAAGGTGGGGCCACATCTCTCACCCAGATAAGAATCAGTAAAGCTGTATATGTCATACTGGTCCAAGCATTCTGGCTCCTCATCCTCCAAGGTCAGGGGCTGGAGTGGTGGAGAAGCTAATGGAGTTGTTGCCATTAGGACTGGAGAATTCTGTTCCTAGTCTATCTAATTTCTTGCTTATGAATTTCTCTTTCTCTCTGTCTCTCAGCTTTGCTTCTCCTTAGGACAGCTCCTCCCCAAATTTATAGGGCTGGGTTCCCTCTCCCCCCCAACAATCCACGTTGGCCCTGTCTGATGCAATCTGGCCTCATCCCAGGATTCCAGAGTCCAGTATAAACAGAAATGAAATCAAAACAGGAAAAGCGTTCTGTCCTTTGACTCCCAGCAGCCGTTCCTTTTCCTCCTTTCTGTTCTCCTCAGGTTGCCACCCATCTGGATATTTTCCCATGGGGTAACTCTTATTTCAGGGTTCTGGGGTCTTTGGGAGGAGAAGAGCAGGAGAAAGGAGAAGAGGAGCAGGAGAAAGAAGGGGGAAGGAGAGGAGGAATGGAGGAGAATCCAGGGACAAACAACCTCCTAGGACTGAGTAGAGTTCAGATCTTTCTTCATTCAAACAAGTTTGCTATGGATTGGTGGCCTAGATGGGTGGGAAGGAAGAAAGAGATAAAAATCCCCTTGATCCTCTCCTTTGAAGCGTTGACAAACCAAATACAGATAAAGGTCTGTCAATAATGTGAGGGGTTCATGTGAGTAATTCATTTAACAAACATCTTTTGAAGACTAACACATGCAAGTCCTTGTAGCAGGCACCAGAGGAGATGCAAAGAGATGTTGGCTATCATCCCAGCCTTCAAAGAGGGGAGCAGAATATCCCAACTCTATTACTTACTAGCTGTGATCTTGGGCAAATTCCCTCATCTGTAAAAAAAGGGGATACCAAAACTTGCATTACCTGTCTTAAAAGGTTGCTCTGAGGAAAGTACTTATAAACCTTACAGTAGTACAGAAATGTGGGTTAAAAAAATTGGCAACTTACCAACTAGTTGGGGGGAGTCAGAACAAGTCTTTACAGGAATAACTATAAGGCAGAATGTGATTGGGTTTATAAGATACAAACACAGTATTCTGGATATGAATAGGAGGGAGAGCAGTCAGCGGAAGCTCTGAGATGGGACTTTTAAGGATAGAATAGTTTGGTAGATGGCGATTGGAAAGGGGTGGAGGATATTCAAGCAATGATAAAAGCATAAGGAAAAGTGTGGTGGAGATGATTCCAGAGGACCAGTGAAGTGTGTTACCCAGTTCCTGACAGAGAGGTGATAGTTTCTTTTTTCAGTGGGTGGTAGTGGTAGCGGCAGTGAATGGCATGCATCTACATAAGGATAGGTAGAGTGGCTTACTGCTATTTGAAGCCAAGCATGGGGATAGGAGGGACTGTACAGATAGACGCAGTCAGGGAAGGATTTGTATCTAGCCTCCTTCGTCCCCACAATCCCACAGGGTGACATTCTATGAACAGTTGCCCAGGTAAGCTAATTTTCCCAACTAGAACATTATACTTAGTTCTGAACACCCATGGGTTCAGTGCAGAGGAAGGAGACCAGGATAACAAGGAACTTTTGAACCATGCATGATGAGGGTTTAGTGCCCATGCAGACCCCATTAGCTTGCTTGGTTGATGTAATCTCTCTACATGGAGGACACTGGAGAAATGGCTTCTGGGAAAATTGTGATGATGTGCCTTGGAGAGGAGACTGTGGAGCATGGGTAGACAAAAAAGGTAACTGATTTTGGTTGGTTGACCACATGGTTGGGAGGGCCCTTTTTCAAAAGGCCACATAGCTAGAGCTGTCAGAACTTCAAAAAGGCCTGAATCAGCTTCAACCAGCTCTTTGCTTCATTAGTATCTTGGGAGGGTATTACACAAGCACATGGTAAAAGACCATTCTATGAAAGGGATGGTCTTAGAACATTCTCCCATATGCCCCCCAGCTCTCCTCTGAAAGAAATGGGCTTGGGCTTGGGTCCTTGGACTTTTCATTTGTTCTTTTTCTGTTCTAGCTGAAGGGAATGAAATCTTACAACCTAATGAGTTTAAAAGTTCATCATGAGGACACCCTATCATCCTGGTATTCTGGAGCCTGAGTTCTAGGCTGGGTGTTGCCACCAGCCCAGTACTGCTGCCCCAAGAAGCTTTCGGATCCATGCCAGTAACATCTGAAGCCAGGCTTCATCCCAAATTGATGCTGTATTTGGTTGTGAACTTGGTGAGACCAATGCTATCTAGGAACTGAGCTAAGTTTTGAATCTACTCCCCTAGAGACCAAGGTAGTACAGGGAAGAGACTGGGGAAAATGTTTATAAATTTGTTCTTTCTATATCTTTGAAGTAAATATCCTTTGTAAAAGCTATGCAACATTAAGAGGTTAAATGGATCTAGGATTCTAGTCACTGGCCCTTAACTAATTCACATTAGAAACACAGTTGGTGGGGACTCGATGTTAGTTAAAAAAAAAAAAAGGGACACCCAACTCCTCAGGTTACCCTAGAATCCTCCGAGGAGACATAGCAGGCCTGCTTCTATTAGAAAAAGTGAGAGCACACTCACTATCCATGTCACATAGCATTTAAAGAAATTAGAAAGAAGTCCTAGAACAACTTGATACTTCAGTGAATCTGAGAACTCATTTGTGTCTATACTTTCTCCATTTGTAAAAATCATAACACACCCAGGCTTTCTTATTGTATGTGAATATTACCTATGTCTTTCCATAAATCCTCTACAAAAGACCTGCCCACTGAGTCATTTAGGTATACCTATCACTATCTTCTTTTTACAGATGAGGAAACTGAGCTGCAGGGAGGGAGGTTATGTGACTAACCCAAGGTCTTTTAAAATGTTAAGGACACCAGTGCAGTACTCAAGGCTTCCAAATGTTATTCTCCTTTCTCAGTATGTGATTGACTTACCGACTTTTACAATTTTACATGTCATAGATGACTTCTTTGCCACTTTTTCAATGCAAATTGTAGTTAATATTGCAGCCTACTTATATGCTTGCTTTATTCTTCCATGTTCTTTGGATTGTCTATAATTCTGAATTTTAAAAAATTAGGCATAGTTTACTTGATTTTTTGCTCTTACAAAGACATTTATGAGGTAACCAGGCAACTGCCTGGTTCACTAGGCACTCTGTTATCTGTTCTTATAAGACAGTCAGTGAATTCCTTATAGAGAGATTTAGTAAACACAATCTCTTTCCAGGAACCAGGAATTAGATGGCAGAGGGGTTTAGAGATGGCATCAAAGGTAGCTAAAAATATAGCAACCAACCCATCAGTTCTGACCCTCAAGAGGAGTTTTTTAGGCACAGGAATTGAGACTTCCCTTAAGACAGGACTGATGCAGTATGGTCAGTGACCTTGTGGGATGTGTGTGTGTGTGTGTGTGTGTGTGTGTGTGTGTGTGTGTGGCGCCAATCTTGCTTCCTCAGTGGCTACAAGCTCAATGGCCAGTGTGGCTGGATGGCACAAATAGATGCAGAAACTTACTTGGGATTTTTGATATCCAGGCCAACTTGGCTACAAAACTCTTGAACCTGGTATATTCCCCAGGTATGATCTTCAGAACTTCATCCTTTAAAGAAGGCTCCTAGGATCCAAGACTTCTTGGGGAAAGGGAAAAGAAATGGAAAAGGAATAGAGTCTATGGTCTTGGTTTTCATGTATTCGATGGTCTCGTGTGGGGACTTTGTCTTTAGCCTTTGCTCCCGAAGCTGTCAAGCCTTGGCCTCAGCCCAGCCCAGCCTTGCCCACAGACATGACCCTGATCTTGACCTCAGCTCATTCTGCTGAAGGCCCTCTATATTTTTTTTCTTTCGACAAGGCAGTTGGGGTTGTGACTTGCCCAGGATCACACAGCTAATAAGTGTCAAGTGTCTGGTCTGAGACTGGATTTGAACTCAGGACCTCCTGACTCCAGGGCTGGTGCTTTATCTACTGCTGAAGCCCCTCTGGAAGCTGCCTTGGCCTCTAGCTCCAAGATGCTGAGGGCCACCGTCTCCTCCTGTAGTACCGTTATACTCTTTGGTATTTCTAGGAGTAGAAGACAACTTTGCTTTTTTGTAGGGTCATCATGTTCCATGATTTGCAGCCACACAGTATTAACAAGAAGAATATTAACATTAAAAAGATTGATTTCAGTATTAATAAGTTTGTGAGCCTTAAAAATTCTATATAATTTCACATATTCAATACAGCCTCACTCTCCTATCCCATTCTGGGCCTAGTATTATTGCCTATAGCCAGCTGGTAGCACAGTGGATAGAATGTGGGTCTGGAGTCAGGAAGATCTGAGTTCAAATCTGAGTTCAGATCCTTACTAGCTGTGTGACCCCGTGCAAGTCATTTAACCTCTGTTTGCCTCAATTTTTCTAAGCTGTAAAATGGGAGTCATAATAGTACCCATCTTTTGGGGTTGATCAAATGAAATAATACTTAGCACAGGCCCTGACAGTGGCATTATAGAAATGCTTATTCCTTTCCCTTTCCCTATCTGTAGTACCTATCCAAAATACAAAGACCAACTCAGTAACTCTTGGACCAGTCCAACTGAATGTCACTAATCAACAAGCAGTTACTTGTTAAGTGCCTACTAGGTGCCAATTACCGTTCTGGGAATAAAAAAACTCTCATAATCTCCGCAATAAGAGGCAGCATGAGTAGTAGGTAGGAGGTTGGCCTTGGAGCCAGGACTGTCTGGGTTCAAGTTCAGTCCCTGGCACATAATTGATGGGAAATTCCTCTGGGAAAGTTACTTAACCCATCAGTATTCTGGACCCCATTTTATAAGCCTATAAATTGCAGAGAAGGTGGAATCCTAAACTGGCAAAGGAAGTTCTTCAAAGGGTCCTCGCTACACCAATAAAACCACAGGTCTAGTCTCTATCCCTCTTCTGGGCACTATGCGATCTTCATTGATTTGTGGTTGTTTTTTCCACATGGGTAAACAGGCCAGTCTCTTCAGAGAGGCCCTGGATCTTTCTGAAGAAGTTCCACAGTGTTCTGGGACCTGATACAATTGGTATGACACCTGAAAACAGGACTATCTGGAGAATTTTCATAAGATATCATCTAAGACAGTGGCAGATATCTTTGGAGAACAAAGTTTTGTGACTTGTTTAACATTAATAGTTAAAAAACACTCACCAAAATGATCTCTTTGC